TGCTGCTGAAAGCAGGTTTCTGGCCTTTGTTTACCTTCTGTATTTGAAACAACGTTGTGATCCTGCTGGCTGAAGCCCTGCGACTAAAGCAGGTTTCTGGGGTTTTGTTTAGCTCCTATATTTGTAACATAGTTGCTTAGAGTTGCAGCTCAGAGGCCTGCAGTGGCAGGCGGGGAATGTTGGAGTCCGCCATCACTGAAACAAGCAAGCCTCATGTTCAGTTTAAGCTGCCTGGCTGCCGGCCGCCATCTTGGCTGTCAGTTAATTTGCATATCTTGCTGATTAGCCAATGGGAAGGGTAGTGGTCGTATGCCAATTACCATCTTTCTCTTTTATTAGTGTAGATGGGATGGGTAGTGGTGATGGTTGCACAACAGTATGAATATACCTGATGTCATTGAATTGTAGACTTAAAAATGATTAAAATGATAATTTTATTTAATGTATATTTTACCACAATAAAAACATAAATTAAAAAGATTTATTTTCAATTATTTAATGAGATATTTTTGAAAAAATATATGATTTATATAGTTCTGCCTGTGTGGTGTTTTTTTTTAAATTTTTTTATATAAATTAACCCATTTATTATAAGCTTGCAGTGTTTCAAACTGTGGAGCTTCTATTGGTCTTTCAATTCCTTCAGTCTTCTGATGGCTGATTTTACTGTGACGGCAGAAGTGGTGTTGTAGGTCCAGGCACCACCAGCGATGGTTTTCATGCAGGAACCACAGTGCCAGATCCCCACGGCTTGCCTCTTCATCTTGGTTTTGCCACAGAAGGAGCAGGTGTACTTGGCGTGCTGGCTGATTTCAATTTTCTTCACCATTTTTCTGAGGGAGGCGCCATAATGGGTCCCGTATTTACTGACGATTCCGACCTTCTTGGTGCGTTTAGCCATGTCGCCGTGAACTAGGTTGGACGCCGAGAGGAAGCCTGCCTGTGTGGGTTTTGATCCTCCTATAAAGTCCGCATATCTCTCTCTTTCTTTAAGGTCCCTGACAATGTCTTTCTTATTTTGTTCACTGAAACTGTTATATACATATAGTAGAATTGTCCAACTTTACTGCAGTGTGATTATGAGGGTCTGGCCCTTTGTATGAGGATTAGAATATTGTTTTATAGCACTGTCACTTTCTATGATGCAAAAATTTAATGTATTGATTAGTCTTGTCACATCCACCCAACCTTTATTGAGTAAACTAAAGATCTAGATTTGGAAGTAATCAGTACATAGGTGATTTTCAAGCCAAGGGAATGGAGGAGATATACCAGGGGAAATACAGAGAATGATGAGGGAAGAGGTATGGGCAGAACTATGCTGATTACTGCGTTGGATAGGAATGAATTTGTCAGTAACCAAAGTCATGCAACAGTATCTTAAATAAGTGAGGGGATGTTATTAGGAAAAATAAATAAGGAGTTCTGAAGTGGACAATGTAAAGTTGAGATAGCTACTCAAAAGTAAGGAATCAGGCACTCTCTAACTTCCTGCTCCTATTTTTAGCATGTGGCTTTCATCTTTATGATCCTGGATAGTTTGTACCAGGAGGGAGGGGAGGAAAAGATGAAATTACTATCTATATCAGGGTTGGGGAACCTCTTTCCTCTCAAGGTCCATTTGGATATTTATAACATCATTCACTTAATATAATCCACTTGAAATAAATTTATGTTGCTATGATAAAAGAGCCTAGATTTATTGAATTTTGAGACCCACCGGCAGTTGCTTTGGCAAGGTCAGACCAAATGATTTTGTGGGTGTTATACAGCCCTCTGGCCGTATGTTCCCCACCTCTGATCTATATAGAGATAACTTCCAATTCTTTATCTCGTCACCATTCTTAAAATCTAGATATACATGTATGTCCTTACTGGAATCAGAATTCTAATATACCTAGAATTATGCTCCTTACCTTCTTTTCTCCTTACTTTTCCAGTGATTTTTTTCTCTCTTCCAAAAGACCTGTTTTCTTTTCTGGATTATCTTGTTCCGTTAGTGGTACCCACATTAAAGCTGAAAATATTAGTCACCTTTGATTTTGGCCTCTTGGGATAATCAGAAAATTCTGTCAGTTCTGTCTCTTTTCCCAGTCTCCTTGTCACTTTTCTTTGAATTGGGCCTCCTGTTGTGCATCTCACCTCCTCCTTTCTATTCCTCCAGGGTTATTATTTAGCATAAAGTCCACATTTCTTTCTCTTTCTACTGACTCACTTTTTAGTCGCCCTAAACTTACTATTCCTTGAATAGATCTTACTATTTTCATATGTCTGTATTTTTTATTTTTTGGGAATGTCTTTCTTTTTCAATGAATTCCTTCTTTCTTCAGGCCCACCTAAATGTCACCTCTTTTGCAGTGCATTTTCTTACATCTGTTTGTTCTCTCCCAAAACACTTTTTCTTGGACCTGAAATTTTTGTGAATGTATCTTTATTTTTCTTTTACCATATCATTATATTATTATTTTCTTATGTCTGTCTCTTCCACTAAAATTTGAACTCTTTGAGGGCAGGGAAATAATATATTCATCTTTTTATCCTTGAAACTGAGAATGATCAATAAAGTAGGTCCTTGATAAATGATTGAAGTGATAAATTCTTAAATGAGAATAATAGACAGTTTTATTAGATATAAATTTGTGATACAAAATCTCTAAAATTTCCTTTTTAAGTTCTGTAATTATATGTTTAAAGTTTGGTATTTTAATATTTTACAAAATTATTATTCTTAAATTTTGAGTTTTATTTTATTTCTAAGAAACAGTCTATAATTTCAAATTTTTTTATTTAATTAATTTTATTTTTATTATCTAGTGATTAGGTAAATTTAATTTTTCATTTTAGGGATCTAGAAATATGATTGTACACATTCAGTAATATCTAAAGGAAAAATCAGTAATATTTTTTAAATTAATGGAAATAATAAAGCAAGGAGATATGCAAATGCTTATTTAATGAACTGAATTATACAACTCAGTCATCTAAAAATAAGTCACTTTTCAGAGTAGGATTGGTTTTAATGATTAGGTTTAATTTATTTTTTATATATGAAAAAGTTTAGTTGAATTGTTGAAACTTTATGAAAATGCTTGGAACATATTTTGAAATTTATAGGGAATTTTTTTTTTTTGAGAAACTGTGATTATGAGTAATGCTTTTTTATGTTAAATTACTTCTTTGACATCAGATGATTTTAAATAGTCAATACTGGGGAAACTTTGCAATTAAATTATTTCATGAAATTTCTTTATCAAGCTGATATCTTTATCACAGAAAGTAAAATAACTTTTTCTGTCATAAATTGTTACTTATCAAAGTAAGTAAAATAATCTTTTCTGTCATAAATTACTGTTCATGGCAAATCGCTAACTGTAGAAATGACATTAAACATACGGTTTGAAACCATGCATTTTTTATATCATTGTTTCTCAAGCGAGTGGCTTGATATTATGTTTCCTGAGCTATGATGTTCTAAACAATAT